CCCAGGCGCCCCTCTTCAACTTCTTTCTATGGTGAGTTGTTTTGGTTTTATAATGCAGCAAAACTATAAAGATGCCATATCTAGAGTATTTGCTTGCTTATAAATTGTATTTGCAAATCTGAGCTCACAGTGCTGTGAATGATCTATCATTCCTACTGATAGATAAGGTTTATGGACCCAAAGTTTATTCTTGGAATCCCATATGCCTATGTGTAGAGTCTGGGTCTTGGGACTCCAAGTTGCATGACCTTACCTGACCTTGACCTGGACTGCCATGTTCCAGACTCTGAATTAGGAGACAGGAAAGTGAATTCTATTCCCTACCCTGCCCCTGGCTTACTGGGTGATTTGGGGTAACTCACTTCTCTCAGGGTCTCTCTGGGACTTTTGCCCTGCTGCTGATCTAAGGTGGCTTTCTTTTCCATTCCCTCTTTCAGTGGAGAGAGGGCTGTCTGAGAAAGGGGTGGCCGTCATGTCTAATACTGCCCCCTCTGGTCACTCCATCTTCCATCTGCCTGTTTCATTTCCTTCTGTTGCTATTTTCATTATGTCATTTAGTGATGCCATTTTGTCATGTAGATCTTTCCACATTTTGTGATGTCCTTTTCAGAAAAGGCCTTGTTTATTTTTTGTGTATTTTGCCTATCTAGAGGGAAGCTCTGTGAGATCATAGCCTAACCTGGGCGATAAGCCAACATAGACTAGTTCAAATGGAAAAGATAACTCATCTTGTCTTGTGTGGCTTGAAGGGATTGGAGTAGCTCATAGGATTTACAGAAACGGAAACTGGGACCTAAGAGATGATGAACTCAGCATGATATGAACACACATACACATGCTTATTTCTCCCCCCACCCCAACCCCACCTCATCATTTCCTATCATCACCATCTTTGTTTTCCTTCATTCTGCATATTGCATCCATCTGGAAGGGAAGAATTCTGCCAGAGGCCCTAAATTCACTGTTCCAATGTAGCATCTCCGGCAGAAAGAGTTTCGTTGTTCGGTGTCAGAGGGCAACCATTGGAAAAGATTCTACCGGGCTTTTCTTGGGTTGTGTACAACTCTTGGAACCAGTCACACTAGGAGTAGAATTGTCATCTGTGCTTGCTCATGTGTGTGTGTGTGTGTGTGTGTTTTTTATCATTAGTGTATATTCAATTTGGTGTTTCTCCACAAAAAGTTATTTATTTTTAAGTGTTTATTTTATTTATTTTACGGGTGGGCAGAGAGAGAGGGAGAGAGAATCCCAAGCAGGCTCCATGCTGCCAGTGCAGAGTTCAATGTGGAGCTCGATCTCACGAACCATGAGATCAGGACCCAGGCCGAAACAAGAGTTGGCCACTCGACCGACTGAGCCACCCAGGTGCCCCTAAAAAAACTTATTTAAATCATTGACCATTTTGTGGTGTTCTATTTAAACTACATATTAATAAGCTGTAAATCCACATAGCTTCCATATGTGAACAGAAGTACTAGTATTTTCTTCTGAGATTCCAATGGATAGTCTTGCTCTCCTCCTGTGTGCTACGTTTTTATATCCTTGAGTGTAGGTACCATAACTTCCTTTCTGTTCCTCCAATATTGCCTAGCAAATACCTAGTCAGTAGGTACCCTCTGAATTTCTGACATCAGATTAAATTCTCTGCTTAACTAGCTGAATTTGTGGCTTCTTCATTCATTGTATGTGCTTTATTTGAGGATATGATTAGTTTTCACTACCCTCAGAGCAGGAAAGACTATAACTTTATTTTTAGTTTAAGAAATGCTATTCAGCAATGCTAGGGAAGAGAAAGAAATCATTAAGCATTGCAATAAGTTCTCCTTCACACCATGAATTTGAGCCTCTCTTATTGATGTTTCCTTTAATTAATTGATTTTTACCTTGTACCTCATTTAATGATATGGATGGCATCTGTGGTAAGTAGAAAAATTGCTCTCAGTATTGTTCTTCGCTCAGATGAACTGTAGATCTTACCCTTGACATTTGAGCTAAAGTGAAACAAACTTTCAGGAATCCATCAGAGATTCTCTGGGCAAGTAACTAAAGCTTCAGGCCCTTGCAGTCAGACTGCGGTGCGTGATCTAGTGGGCGTGGTTTCACTTCGCGGTAGAAGTGCTGAAGTTGGGACCTTAGCCCCGACCCTTGGGATCTGCAATTTAACAGATTTCCCAGGTGGTTTGGAAGCACAACAAAGTTCGAGAAGCACCGCTCTAGAGATGAGAATCAGCTTCCTGGGAAAACTTGTAGGGCCTTGACTGTTGGGCTTTGAATATAATTGATATCTTCAGGAAGCCTAAGTGTTAACCCAAAGGATGACAATGTTAATGAATGTTGATGGCCTCCTACCATGAACTTGTGAGAGACATTACTAATTTCTCAGGCTGCCCTTTCCACCAGACTTTAGGATGCTTGTCCACATTCTCTACCTAGTCTCGTAGCTTTCATGGAGACTGAAAAGTTGGCCTAAGAGTTAAGACCTATTTATGAATCTTGCCTGAGGACCAATTGTTGTTTCCTAAATAGTGCCCCACAAGCCAAACAGACCAAAGGGAAACCTAGGTTAGGGAATCTTGTGGGTGTGGCTTTGGGATAATTTGTTGGGGAGGTAATGAAATCAAGATCATGAGTTTGGCCTTGGGCAAGCCAGATAATTTCTTCATCCACTCCTTTCTGTCTTGTTCTGTCTCCTGTCCATCTGCTTGCTCTTCCTCATGCTGAACGCATTTTGATTTCCCATCACTAACCTTCATCTATTCTTTTGAATTAAGTGTCTTCTCTTGCTCTTTCTGGTTGGGGTACTTGGGAGAAGGATCATCTTAGTATCTATAAGTCTCTTCTCCTGGGAACCCAAACTCTGACACTGATTTAGATGATCGCTGGTTGTCTTTATTCACCCTTTTGAAACAATCTCAGACTTATCAAGGTCATCTGTTTCGGGGCACCTGGGTTGCTCAGTCTGTTGAGCGTCCTACTTGAGCTCAGGTCATGATTTCACAGTCTGTGGGTTCGAGCCCCGCATCAGGCTCTGTGCTGACAACTCAAAGCCTGGAGCCTGCTTCCAATCCTGTGTCTCCCTCTCTCTCTGCCCCTCCCCCAGTCTCATGTTGTCTCACTCTGTCTCTCAAAAATAAATAAATATTAAAAAAAAAAATTTTTTTAAAAAGGTCATCTGTTTGACTAAAACAGTAGCCCAAAAAAGAAATCGATTAGAGTCCACTTCCTTGCCCACTTGAACAGGCTTGATATTATTTCAGTTCCCCCATAGTTACCAAGGATGTAGGATCTGAGTCAACGTTTTAGATTCTGCTCATAACTCCACTACTTCCTGGCACGTGATGTGGGGCATGTCACCACATCTCTCTTTTTTCACTTTGTTCTTCTGCGGAATGAAACAATTCTGGAGCCTAACTCCCAGGGTTGTTCTGGAGGTTAATGATAATCATGTAAAATTTGGTACAGTACCTGGGATATGATCAGAATGGAATACCATTAATGTCTACTAATTTCATTATTGTCATAATCTTTAAGGAGATTCTGGTTGTGTTGGAAAGAGTTGGTCAGGGTCAACCAAAACCAGTTGTAGGTACAATTTTCTCTTCAATGTTCCCCTCCTTCCTCCAGACTTTAAGTCTTTATTGTCATATAAAGTTATTCTCCTAAGACATCAAATCACCAGTTCAATCAGATACGGGGTATTCCCTCCCCCCAAACTGTGCCAAGTTTGATATAAACCAACATAGTTTGAATAACTATAATCAACATCCAAATACATTCACATCAATCAGAACTCAGGCTTTATTATTATGCAGTAAAAGAAACTAAAACTTAATTCCAAGCACATGTAATTGATGTTTGCAGAGAAGGATATTGCTCATAAGACATACCCAATATTTAAGGGAAAAAATGACACTTACTTGAAGAACATAATATACTTAGAATTGTTGGATTCTAAGAAGCCCATTTCCCAGAAGCCTAAGCTTTGTAATTTCTTATTAGGCAATGAGGTTATTTTACACAATCTGGTTAAACTAGTTAATGGAAATAGCATTTGACAGAATAAAATATTGCATAGATGTATCACTCCAAAATAGTACTATTGAAATCCAATGTTCAACCTCCAAAGATAGATTTCCCCTAATAAACTTAAATATATGCTTGTTGAAATATATGTAAGTATATAAAGTATATAAAAAAAGGAAGCTGACATATTTAATATCAGCTCTCCATTTCATCCAGGAGGATAATGATACGAAAACAAGGGAAAAGTAGACATATTTTCTTTTTCCTATTTTACTTCCCCATTCAGTCTGCCTTTGGGTTACTCATTCAAGTCAGAAATCGTAAGTAATGCTGGGGCTAGAAGTTGACCAAATATGCTCCTTTTCAGATCATGACTGAGCATTTTCAGATTCAGCATGTATATATGGTGGAGGAAGAGGGTCTTGAAGAAAAGGAAGTTAAATCAGAACACTTCTGAGAAATCTGTATTCTGAAGTGGCAGACACAGTACAAGTCCCACCAGGGGATGCAGCCACTCAGAAAGGTTAACGGGCCAGCAAGGGGCTGTGACTGGGATGGAACAGATGGGGCACCAGGCGGAGAGGTTTCTAGATTATACCGCACCCTGAATCTCTGATTTAGAGAATTCTCATCAATAAAATGTCTGCTAAACTTCCAAGAGAAAATCTTCTAGCCTAAGCTTGTTTTTTCTGGATTTTGTATTTTTAACACAGACCTGGTTTCTGGATAAGGGAGAGGGCCTAGGAAATTGGGGAGGATTTGAGAGCCCATTTTGCAGAAGCCACATTAACAGTGTGCACGTAGGTGGATCATTATTTTCTGATCTGTAGCCCACAGAGGGCAACATCACAATGAAACGTGATAGCGAAATTGGATATCTCTTGTATTCCTACGGGCACAGATGCCCATGTGACAATTCTGACTTCCTCTTGTGAACCATCAGCCTATAAATCGTGACCGAGCTTGCAAAGGGTGTATCAAGGGATGATAAACTCGCATATGTACCTCTTGGTGCTACGACAGACCTCGTCACTCCATTTGCCCTCAGCTGACTGGGAGAACAGAGCACAGTTTTCGCGCTTACCGCCATTAGGCTGTGCACGGTCCCAGTTGAGGAAGGAGATGGTGACTCCGTTGACATCAACAAACTTGCCCTCGGTGACCATGTCATTGATGCCCAGCCAAAAGTCATTGACACCTGGCAGGCTTCTTTTACCATAGTCTCGGAGGGCGTTGATCTCGTCAGAGTTTCTGGGGACCACCAGGGTTCCTCCCTTGGAGATACAGTCTTCGTTAGCTTCATGGAAGTGCTTCAGGCCTTCCGAAGCAAGGTAGCATTTCTTGTGAAACTTTGTGCCTCGGAGACAGACTGTAAAGATGTGAAATTGGATATATTAAGAGGCTTTTTGAATGTTAGACATCTAGGGCTAGACTTGGAAAACGGCCATTAATATTTGTGGAATGAATGATATGTGATGATAATGCTGAGTTAATATTTATCGGAGATTTTGTATGTGTCAGACCCTATGCCAAGCACTTTATAATAATGAACTTGTGTCATAATCACAGCAGTCCCATGAAATGAGATTGTATTGCTCTTGTCTTTACTATTGAGGCTTATAGAAGTTGTTATTGTAACAACTTAGTATGTAAAAATGTAATTTACGTAGTATAGATGATCACAATTACATAAACCCACCTCTGTCCCACCCCACCCTCAAAACATGGTTTTTAGTCTCATGCTGCTTTGATATATACCTACTTGCTAGTTTGTATAGCTCCATTGTGTGCTGAATTTCCTTGGAACTTTTGGGACTGGGTGGTATTTCATAATGATTTAAAAAACAAAACAGACAAAAGTCTGAGCTGACATATGGAGAGACAGTGATTTTGTTACATAGATAACTCAGCCCTGGTAATATTGTTTAGGTTATCCAGGATAAACCAAACATAAAGATAGTTTTAGGGTAAAGCATTAGAGGGTTGCCTGGGTGGCTCAGTCGGTTAAGCGTCCGACTTCGGCTCAGATCATGATCCCACGGTTCGTGGGTTTGAACTCCGCGTTGGGCTCTGTGCTGACAGCTCAGAGCCTGGAGCCCGTTTCAGATTCTGTGTCTCCCTTCTCTCTGCCCCTCCCCTGCCCACACTCTGTCTCTCAAAAATAAGTAAATGTGAAAAACAACATTAAAAAAAAAGCATTCGAGGGGCGCCTGGGTGGCGCAGTCGGTTAAGCGTCCGACTTCAGCCAGGTCACGATCTCACGGTCCGTGAGTTCGAGCCCCGCGTCAGGCTCTGGGCTGATGGCTCGGAGCCTGGAGCCTGTTTCCGATTCTGTGTCTCCCTCTCTCTCTGCCCCTCCCCCGTTCATGCTCTGTCTCTCTCTGTCCCAAAAATACATAAACGTTGAAAAAAAAAAAAAAGCATTCAAGAACCTCGCTCTGACAGTTACTAGGTGTGTAACTGTTGGAGAAAATACTTAATTTATCTGTGCCTCAGTTTCCTCATGTATAAAATGACGATAATCATAATGGCACCTATCTCATAAATTGTTGGAGGATTAATGTGTTAATGTTTATGAAGTATTTACCGTGCCCAATTGTGGGTAAAGCATTAATAAAACCCTTTTGCTTCCTGCATGGGCATTTGACATTCCTTTAACTTTCGAATTCTGTTCCTGGAAGCCCGATAAAGGGAATATGTCAGTAGTAGTATCAAGTAACATCGCTTATGGTAAAAAATAACCTTGAACTGGTAACATTTAGCTGGCCTGGGAGTTATAAATCCTTGATAGGAAGCCATAACTTTAGTTTTCCCTGAAAGTGCTAACTCTTGTAACCGGACAGGTCTCTTGCAGAACCCTTGAAATTCTGCTTCTGGAGTTGTTATGTGAGGTATTGGATCGCGGGGGTATGAGTCTTGTGAGCAAGGGCTATTCTTTTTTTTTTTTTTTTTTT